AAATTGATAACTGATAATTACATGCAAATGAAAATTTGCCAAACAATTTCAAATCAATTTCAAATTCAAATAAATAAAAACAGGAAAATTTCATTATTATCAGTGGTGATAATTAAGTGCATGGCAGTTGCTTTGCTGCAGTGGTAAATCAATCAAAATTCGGATAGATGACTGCATTGATACCAAATTTCTAAATGAGTACCATCGGTCGTCAACATTCTTTACTGGTACCCAAATCATACGTAAGTGGCAAGCAGTGCTCGATGACAAGTTCGTTTCATTTTCATTATGTTGCTGAAATAAAACCTGAGATTGTATGCTAGCCTGATGTTTCTTTTAGGATTCCAAAAACACAATAACACATCTCAAATTTCTAATAGGAACTTTGAAACTGATAAAATCGTCAATCAGACAGAAATGGAATGAGGTAAACAGCGCTAATTGAGAAGATAAAAGAGTTATCGCTGAATTCTTGAAGTTCCAAATCAAAGTTTGAGAATCGAGGAAGTGATAAGCTGTCACACTCACCTTGTCATCTATTACTGCTATATGAATATTATTTCTTGTAGATTTTTTTCGTGTAGATTTCCAATTGCTTGAAAATTGAGTTTAAGAAACCTAATCAATTTATAATAAAATCCCGAAGTAAATTACTGACGTTTTGTAACTGACGTCCATTATTTCATTTTCAGTGACTTGCGATGGTGGCTTCAGCTATGTCCTGTGGATATTCAGGATAAGAATAAGGTACGGTATAATATCTCTTCACGAGCTCGACGTCAAATTCCGTGGCAATGGACTCATAACCGTTTTGATTCTGTTGTTAGTCTTCAAGTTTTATGGAAAATCGACCCCTTCCATTCAATAGGATTGAAGTAAAATTTCGAATTAAAAGTCGTACGGATAGTAATTACTATAAAACATTAAAAAAATAAAATAAATTTATACAAAAATACATAGTTGTTCGTTTGCTTATTTTTTTAGGAATTTAATAAGAAAATAAGTCATTCCATTTCGCAACTTTTTTTTTGCCGTAATTCAATTGTGAAGAGACAAAAATTTTTAGAGAGTTGATCCGATGTTCATGAAACAAGGTCGCCTAGATGATGTACGCTCAGAATTTTTTAGTAACATGAATCATGAACCCAAAACTTCAGTTCCGCAATTCGAAAATAAGCAAAAAAACGTGCGAAGTTCAAGGGTAAGTTAATATCTCATGAAGATAGTAACAAAAATTCCATCAATCATTCTACTTACTCGAGAACATTCATATTAGGCCCTTGATCAAATTAAAAGATTTGCGAGTTATCACTTTAGCAGCAATTGTACAGAAAAAATGGAAAAACATCATCATTGTACGGAAAATCCTGTGCGTGATTGTTCCCGAGACTTAACGAAATGGATTATCACTATTCGACGAAAGTACCACTAGTCTGCTAAAATTGAAAGAAAAAAGGATGTCAAAGAACAGAACTGGATTCATTTCTATTAAGGATCTAGTCAAATTTACTTTCAAATCTAGACCTCAATTTTTATCATGAGAGTTAAATCTACTTTTAAACTGAAAACAAGTCATCACATTCTGATTTGTCGGCATTTCAGTTATTGCAAATGCTATTTCAGAAACTGATCGCTAATGTAAATATGAAGACAGAGAAGGTATTACCGCAATCATCAACCTCAAAACCTCTGTCCAATACTACTACATTGTCCATTAAGTCTACAACTTTCTCAGCGGTAAAGGAAGATGTCGCTATTGATTACTACGATATTTACGATGAAAATTTTGATAAGTCAAAACATGCAGGCAGACAAGGGATACTAGGAGGGGTATCCGATCTCTTGCAAAATATTCAGGTACGTGCCGTTTTGTCGCTTCAAAAATTCTAGTAGCAATGCTTCGAAATCCCAATACCACTATTTTAATATGCAGTTAATGACAACTGCTATTGATATCTGTAGATGTTTTGTCAGCATGTGAGCTACTACTAAATGAGTCTGAAAAGCTATTTTTAGTAATTTTTATGACCGGCAAATAAAATCAAATAGTGGAGATGACTGATCTATTTTTCGTGATAATGGTAGTAATGCCTAATAGATAGGCTTTGTTATTAGAACTTCCCAAAGGTGACAGATTATATAGAGAAAAGGTTAAAAAAACAATGATAAGTGTAACTTACAAAGGATTTTCTGGAACTAACAACATTCTAGTATAACATTTAAGGATGGCTTATCAATAGCACAAGCAGCTTTACCATCTCACGAAAAACAAATCTATGAAACTGCAACGACCACCGATGGACCAGCTTTTCTGTTGAGTCGAGATGAAGATTCACTGACAATTGGTATGCAACATGATACCCACAATGGTGTTAGTAATTCGAGACTTAAATTTCAACGGTATATTTTGCATTTATGAATTTTATTAAATTAGTAAGCCATTGCAATTTTCCAGATTCAAAAGAACTTCAATTCATAAATGCTCTAGATGACGATCATATATTCTCATTCACAATCTTTGAGTAATTTCTGAATGGTTCTCAGCCATGAGAAGAAATGTTTCAAGCAGAAAGACATGCAGGTTTTAAATGCCAAAAATGCTTAGAAACAGGTGGGAGTGTGAACTGAAAAGCTCCAGATTATTATAGCAATTTAATTGTAGTACACATTAAACTATAAATTATTGCATAAGGTAGAGAAAGACAGTGACATGACAAATTGCAAATTTCGTTCCAGTGTTCTAGTTCTCTTTTTTCAGATTCGGACCAAAACCGTCTCGACCAAATGCATCGCAGCCGATGTCGACATTATTCAAACTAGGCAATCCAGGCGCAATTCAGCAAATGTTTCAATTTTTTGGTCTATGCAAGAGTCATGAATTATAATCATCCATACATTTCTTTACTCCAAAGAAACGGAAACCAGAAAGATATTGGAAATGATCTCCTAAAGAGAAGAATTGTTTTTCAATGTAAATTTCGAAAAGTTTGTTTGAATGAAGTCTGAAAATACTCCCATTCACCATTGTCCACATTCTCTCATTTCTATCCACTTTTGTTTTTTGACAATGAAGAAACTCCTCGTTCTTCCACGTGGTGAATCTTGTTAAAGCACCAAGCTATCTCACTTCTGTACGGGCTTAACAAAATTTCATTTCATCAAATGTTATCCATGATAGTATCTCTTAGTCAGGATAGAAGTTCCTTCGAGTAATTTAAGACAACTTTTGCTTGATTTTTTTTTTTGTGACAAGAACTGCTTCTTACGTGACTAGGTTTAATTAGCTGCAAGAAATTAACTTTCAAGTGTTAACGATTCAAGAATGTGTCGAAGGTAACTCGCTGCAAAAGTCTACACAACTGGCACTGTAATTATTTCAGTATTTTGCAGGAAAATAATAGCTCAATCCTTCTTCGTTGGATTTATAAATTTTTGAGAGATTCTTGGTAAACTATTGATTTCCACTTAAACTTATAGAGTCTCTTCCAGTCTCGACAGTTTTCGGTTTTTCTTATCATTCTTCTCTTTCCGGACTAATTCTGTTCTGTGTTTAGGAACTTTCCATTCTGAATCTGATACTAGTAAAGTAGTCAATTTGGACAGTGTTCCTTCTTTGTCGCACAAATATTGATAAAATTCATTTCCAATCAGATTGTAAACATATCAGTTTTCCAAAACCTTAAAAAATAAAAAATACAATATTACCGGGGATGCAGAGAATTTCGTGTAAGATTAAAGCAATTTTACTTCACGGAAACCTCCGTGTTCTTCTCCTCTTAACGATATGAATCGACTGTGTTCAGTCGTTATTCCCTAGAGAAAAAAGTAAGCTTCCGTGAAATCTAAACCCAATGTTTCAATTAATCGTTATAATTCAAAAATCTCACTTTGACTTACCGCAACTCGATCCTTTTATCCTTCCACATTCATTCCAACCTGAAACGCCTGCAAATATAAATTTAAAATATTGTGGTTGGTATCACTTTTAACAAAGCACTATTTGGTGCAAACTAGAAATCCCTCAGAAATGCTTATCTCCTCTTAAAGGCTATCCTTAAACCTACAATAAAAATCGATAAGGAAAGCATTGTGTTCAGTGCGCAATCATTCATAAGCAGAAAATACAATCCTGCAGAAAAATCAAAGGACGAAGAAATACGCTTTGGTAGACGTAAAAAAGAAGAGAATGTTAGTCATTTCAGTGTTTTTTCTTAAAATTACATTGGTGGGAAATCCATGTTTGATTTTTGACAGTTCCAGGTTGAATTCTAGGCTTCAGTAAAACCCCCAACACATGCCATTCTGCCTAAGGCTCTTTCTATTACATAATTATGTTCGAAGGGAAATTTCGTTATGGAATTATTGACTGAAAGTTAAATTTCTTAAAGTAATTTTTACTTGAAGAGAAATGGAAAAAGCAGAGAATAAGGGGATAATTGATTAGGATGACGTCATTCTTCTCTCCTTCAATCTTTCAGTATTTGATTAAAAAGTGAGGGAAAGAGCTGGGATGAGTGTGTAATAACAACGAGCGCTCACTGATAAATAACCTTCCGCCAGCCTTATTACATACTTTGTTACTTTCGGGAATCGAACTTCCCTCTCATTTAACCATTGATTTCTTACCGGCTTCCTTTCCTTCACTTTATTTTCTTCCAACTATTTGCTTACTTTTCACTTCCTGTTTCAGAACGATCAGTACTTTGCTGGTAAATACCACGTGAACATATGTCTCTTTCCGCACTCTTTTATTTGGAATCTAAGTGAATATAAGGAGTTTGTGTTTACGTAGGATGACCAGATCTCTTTTCGTCCCGTTACAAAGACCTCATCCCCCTGACCTCGATTCTGTTATCTTTACGTACAGTGAAACTTATTATTGTTTGTCCTGTTAATCTAACCGAGAAATTACTTCCTCATCCCTGTAATCATCCGGGAACCGGACTTATTTTCATCCTGAAATTTAATTCGAGCTGCAAGCGATAATAGGAGTATTAACTGGCCAGTGTTTGGTCTCTAGATCATTTGTTTTGTTGATCATTCTTTTGTTGCTAAAAGATTACTTTCATTTAGTGTTTACTGGAGTCATTAAACGAACCTGATAGGAATCGTTGTCATAAACAATGGATGACATTCATCAGCCAACTAACTTTAGTCATTGCACAGTCGATGACAACCGTTTTCCTCTACTAACCGATGAAAATCACATTTTATGTAAAAATGACAACGATGTCAATGATGATAATGATGATGATGGTGATGATGATGAAAACAATGACGATGGTGGTAATCGTAATGACAGTCTTTTTCTGGTAAGTTTTTACTGTTAACGCAAACGTTCTTGAATATATGAGTTACTCCTTAATATTGGTATAGCTTATTGTAGAATTACATTTAGGCTTCATTTACTCAGTCCAAAATATCACATTTAGGAGCCGCAAACACCAGTCCGAGACACATCACTACATACGAGTGGATCAGACGCCTCGATGATTGTTCATAATGAAGAAATTATGTTGAAAATGTGTGATAACTCCATGCAGGTAAATATATACATTTATAGTTTATTATAAATTATATGACGTGTTTCTGCTCTGTTCGCGTTATTTATTAATAAAATAAAGAGCAACGATGCATCTGTGAAAAGGAGAATAAAAGAAACAGTTGGTCATAATAGCGGGTTATTGCAGGATACATTGCTTTCCCATTTGAACACTTTTCGGCGGAATCGTGAACTTTGTGATGTTGTCCTTTTTGTGCATGAAAAGGAGATTCTTGCTCATAAGGTCTTCATTCCTTCATTTTCATCTGGGCGTTTTGAGTATTCTTTCATTTTAATTCAACAAATGTGTTATAATGCTTAGATGAGATCTTATCATGTTTTAAACTTATGATGAGAGTTTTGAGATTGTTTTGGCTGCTTGTTCACCTGCACTTATGGATATCTTTATCAGAAGCGAGAACGGAGGTCGATCTTCAAGTAATTTTTTCTAATAATGAATATGTGATTCATAGAAAAGTTCTTCTGTTATTGTAGTCTTTCTAGTACACATATCTCGGATATGTATCCAGAAAGATAAAAGTCCTGAAAGTTCTTGAAATGGAATGTGAGAAATGAAAGCTGTTACAAAAACTAAATTTAGTTCTTGCCAAGATTTTGACGGCTTTGCAGTGCTATTTTTCTCCAATAAGTTCCAATCCTTTATTAATAAGATCTGCAGAGCGCGTGAGTACGACGATGCTAGCGACAGCAAGCACTATTTCGCCATCGTTAACAACAGCTGTTGTTTCGCCAATAACACTACAGCCATTTTCTTATTACGAATTTGCTGAAGCCGATTATGATTGTTTCGAAGCTATTGTGAATTACGCATACTCTTCTCAGTATTCTTCTGTTACATATTCAATAAGTACACTGTTGATTCAGTGCAAATTTCCGTCCTCTTGATAATTATTTGGTATTACACTTAAGTTTTGGCTATATTTGATGTAATTTCAACATGATATTTTCCAGTTTGGAAATAAGTAGCAAAAAAGTTGGCATACTTTACAAAACAGCTTATGCTCTTCAAGTAACTCCGGTTGCCAGAGCTTGTGCTCGCTATCTTATCGAGAATCTTAATGTCATGGATTGCATCGGTAAGCTGTATGTTCTTTTTAAGGGAACCACATCCTGAGAACTATGATTCTGTGATATAACTGTTTCTTCAAGAAATGAAAATTTCAGGAATTCGATGTCAGGCTAATATTAACGATGATGTACTTGTGGAACAAGTTGATAATTTCATTGCTAAAAATTTCGCGCAAATCGTTGATGAAAGTCCAGGATTCACTCATTTGCCTCTAATTAAGGTTTTAATGAAACTATTGAACTAGGTAGATAAGCTAAGTTAATTTAACTTCGATTGTAAAGTAGCACTTTAAAAGCTTTGCAGGTTCGTTTAATTTTGAGCACTGAAGATACTAAGCAGCTGTGGTGTGGTGAGGATATCGCGCTGCGTGTTGTGCAATACTTCCAATTTTTGCCTCATGCTAATGATCGCGTTGAACAGTGGATTGAGCAACTTGTGGAGAAGGTACTTCCAAACCAAGAAATAAAAGTTTGAAGTTTGAAGTTTGTTGTTTGCAGTATTTTAATTGAAATTGAACACGATGAATTTGCAGACACATATGTTATACACCGAGACAGACGCTAGGTTGCAGGACTGTTTGGAAATGGATGACCACAGTTCTGTGGGAGCATCCGACATAATCCAGGATTATAAGCGTACGGGTGGCTATTTACCACGCACATACAGTGGAAGGTAACTTTAAGAAACCATTTCTAAAAACCCTTTTCATGTTTCATCTATTATCAGAAAATAGAGTTTACTTAAAATATTTGCTATTAACATGAATAATCTTTAAAGAAGACAATGGAGGTCTTGAATATTTTTCAGCAATGTATTGGAGGTCCAAACTCCTGCTCATCATATCACAGGTGCTACACAAGTTCATCTGGATTCAAGTCGTTTAAGCAATACAAAATTATCTTCTGCGGAAAGTAACAGCTCCTTGAGTTCAAACACTGAACCTGATATTGAATCTTACAAATTGATCGCTGTGCACCGAACAGCCGGTAAGAATAAAAGACAAGATGAAAGTATAGTCAAGCATGAGGATTATGTGGGAAGGATGTTCCCTGGTATTTATAATCATGCTATGGGTACTATTTATTCCAGAAAAGTTATCTAAAAGGGTTTTGATGCATAACTTGAAAATCACTGTTATTACACCAGGTAATCAGCCATTCGGGAAATTGCTTTCACATTGTGATGCAATGGGGGGTTTGCGGTATTTTCTCCAGT